ACAGTCCTGGGACCTGCCCATTTCTGCCCAGTTTCATTCAGATTTCTACAGAAAGAGCAGCCGAAGGGTGATAAGCAGTGTCACCTCCCTGCAGCACTCAGGAGGTGGCACGGGATGGGATAGCTCAGGTGTAGCCCTGGCTGGCAGAGAGCCCTCTCTCAGCTCAGGAACCACGTGCTGCCACTAACGGAGCAGCCCAAACACGCAGGTGGTGTCTGCGCTTGCCGTCTGTCCTCACGCCCCCATCTCCATCGCCATCCCCAGCTCAGCAGAGTGCTGAGAGTTGATCCAGACCACAAAGGCAGACTGGTAGCCACCCAGGCACTCTTGCCCAGCCTGTTCCCTCAACTCCATGGCAGCTTTCCTGGAGTAACACCTCCACCAACAGACGCATATTCAGCTTGTCTCTGGAGCTCAGGCACCTCTGGATTGACTCAGCAGGGCTGGTAGGGCAAGCCGAGATGGAGCCACATGCCCTGCACACCCAGCGCAGTATCCTCCCACATGGGGCCACTGGCAAGCCCATCTCTGCTAGCCCGAGGCTGCCTGGACTGCTGTGCTGAGCTTTCCTATCTCCCAGCCATCCACACCTTCCCTTTAAATGGAAACTCTTATGTAGCTCCCAGGTACCAGCCCCAGTACCGGTCCATCCTACCCAGATCAGATCCCCTGTCCCTCTGCTGGAGGTGCCACCCTTACCGGGAAGGGCCAACCACTGCGCCATAACAGCCGCAGCCTTCTCCTGGAGCTTCTCCTCGGGCACCAGCTCGTCCACAACGCCAAACCTGTGGGCCTCAGGTGCGGGGTGGAGGGAGCCCAGCTGGAGGGAGCGTTCAGCAACTCGGTGTCCTACAACGTTCACAAATGTGTCCTTAAACCTATAAGAGATGAGAGGAAAAGCCACGGTCAGGGAAAGAAACACCCAGCAGCAGCTGCACCCAGACATCGAAGCATGCTTGGTCCCACTCCCCAGGCACGGGTCTCTAAACAGCAGCTCCGGGCTCAGCCACGCTGTGCGAAGTCAGGGGAGCGGAGCCAGTTTTGGTACCACCCCAACAGAGTTCCCCCTCCTCTCCAGGAGAGCTGCTCTATTCACCCTCAGTGCACCGCGTCCCAGCCGGGTCCGCTTGCTGTGATGTGAAATCTCCTTTCCAACAGCGCATTCGCACCTTCTTAGGGCAACCAAGGGCCTGCGTCTTAGTATTCTAGTGTCCCTATGTTTTCAGGGATCTCCACAGCACTGGGATTTTGCAGGTACACAGTGTGTATCCAGAGAAAAGATTTTTCCCAGACTGAGCCTGACCAGGGAGATCTCCCAGCACTAGTTTGGGAGTTGAATGCAGAGTCAGAACTGAGGTCCTCGTTGGTGAAGGACGTGAGGACATTGTGCAGCCTGAAAGCCTTTCAGATACCTGCAGGGTAGGACAGAGAAATGAGGCGCCGTCTCCCGCAGATGCAACAACCTGATCACTGACACATAAAGCTACATCTCAGCGGCCACTTAAACTGATTGATAAACTCCTCGAAGATGAATTCTTTTTAGAGACCTACATGTGACACTAGAAGTGGGAGGCACTGGCCTACCAGAAGGGAGCCACAATGCCCAGCTGGGCTTCGTTCAGGCCGATGCTGAATTTGGGGTTCTCCACCATGATCCTGTAGTCACAGGACAAGGCAATGAGACAGCCTCCCGCCGGGCTGGACCCCTGGCAAAGAGAAAAAAGGAGTGAGTCTAAGTCACGGTTACAAACCACCCTGCGCCCCCCGCCCCGCTGTGTCCTCCGGAGCAAGGAAGGCACAGGGGGACAGAGCAGATGTCCCCCAAGTCTCCGATCACCCAACTCAAAACAGCCCTAAAGAAGATTTCTGACAGTTTTACCAGCGTTTATTCTTTCCATTTTCAATGCTCTTTGTGTCTTGCATTTTCCAGCCTGGAAATCTAGTTAATTGATCCGTGTTACTCGGGTTGCAAACGCTGCAGTGGAGATTTGCTACAGCATTTCCTTGTAACCCTACAGGAGTTTTTAACCCTACTTGAGTTTGCAACCCTAAATGCCACAGAGACAGTTCTGGCCAGGGGCTTTCTAACACCTTCCATCTATAAAACTTCCATTTGCGACCACCTTTGCCACGACTCGGTGCTTGCTTAGCCCTGCAGAGGACGCCTGCGGGAAGCCGCTCAGAGACCCAGCTGCCTTCAAAGACCGTCTACGGACAGACACAGAGACCTGAGCTGCCGAAGCGGCACTGCACTGAAAGTGAAAACAAGACACCAAGCAGGTAACAACCCATCTACGGACACCGAGATTCAGACAGCACTCCCCTGCTGGCCAAGAACCACAGCTGGAAGAGAAAATCTGGTGATAAAAGAGCTCACGACAAGCAGCACTGCCCAGGGTCTGAAGCATCGCTGCCCGGAGTGCCAAGGACAAGCACCTGCGGCACTGCCCGACTGCGTTCCATCTCCTCCCCTCTGCCAAGCAGTGCAACGGCCAAGCAAGTGACCCTGGGCAACTCCTACGAGTCTCATCAGTGAGAAAGCAGCTGGTGGGGACGTGACAGGCGTCCTTCGGACTCCTCCTACACCAACCGCTTGGCTTCTCCGACACTCGCCTGCCATCGATGCCCCTCTGGACTTTACCACTGGCCTACAGCACTCCTCCTGGTCCTCCAGCCTAGAGGACAGGCTCTCAGCCAAGTTCTTGGGGCAGGGTATGGCTTTCGCTGCACAATGGGCGCCTCAGCCCCCATCAGCAGGACAGGAGTGCCGTGCAAGCTCTCCACCGCAGCCGAAATGCTGCTATACCCCAGCAGTGCCTGCAGCTTACACGGACCCGGCAACATCCCACACTTCCATACCTCCCCACACCCCAACGCACCCAACTGACAGACACGTACTTTGCCCAGACATCCCAACAAATACATCCCTGTACTTGTTTCGGTACTGACAAGCCTGATTTTTTTGGCTGTCCCTGCCCACGCGCTGCAAACAAGCCACGACAAGTGACAGATCGCACTGGGCGACAAGGAAGATGGATCTAAAGGACGTACATTGACAGCAGCGACTGTCACCATGTTGGAACCGTACAGCCGGAGCCACATCTCCTGCACGGCTCTCCAGAACTCGGCGTAGTGCTCCGTGCTCTTCCCGCACATCTCGGTGATGTCCAGGCCAGATGAGAAGATTTTGGGGACGGCCTGGAATCGGGAAAATACAAACGTCACTGGGAGTCACTGCTCAGGGATGACCCTTTAGCCCTCTAACGCACTCGGCATGGCAGCCTGAGGAAAGGGAATGCGATAATTAAATATGACGTAAAGCAGGGTCTTTCAGGGTACTGAAATGACCTCCCCAGTGCTCCCGCAGCCTGGATCATCCCACCACCGTGGCCTGCAGGGCTGGGACTCTCTGCTTGCAGCACAATTTTTCATTATCAGGGTCCCTGTGCAGGTACATCAGCCACGCAGCCCAAAACCTGCCCTGTCCCATTCCGAGGCATCATCTTGTACCCACATCACGCCTGAAAATAAACAATGGCTTCCCCTCGCAGCTCCCTCTGGGCAGCTCAAGAGCTCTCAAGGGATGTGTCAAGTTTGCAGATAAGCAGCTTTGATTTTAATGACAAATAACAACTCAGTTGCTATCCTTCCACTAGAAGAGGGCAGGGAAGAAAGAGCACAGCCCTTCCAAGAATCACTTCTTCCGGAGCCGATCAAAGCTGCCTCCTGGCCCTCCTGTGCCAGTGACCAGGGAGCCAAGAGACCAAACACGAGCAAGGGAACGGCACCCGTGCCCACCATATTGCCCCGCGACTCGCACCCCGAGCTCAGGACAACACATACGGATGTCAAGATCACGCCCCGGCAGGCCCGGTTGTTCTCCAGCTTCTCCAAACCTATGGAAAACTCGGTGAGGAAGTCCAGGCTGAGGCTGTTGACCGGGGGGCTCTTGAACTTCATCGTGGCGACGCCTGTGCCGTGGTAAACACAGAGACATCAGCACTCCCCACCACAGCGGCATGTGCTGCCTTGCCCAAGGGAGCTTCACCCGCCTCCCTGTTTCCCCGCTCGCCCCAGATCATGTCTTTCCACTCCTGGCTCTTCAAAAAACCCCCAGAGCTGCGGGGCCACGACAGGGCCCTGCCTTTGCCCACACCTGCCTGCAAGCCACAGCTCACTCAGCCAGCGGTGAATCTGGACTATGAACCCGCAGGTGTGCGGTGGCCGCATCGCGTGTCCCCAGAGATCAGCCACCTTTGGGGTCTCCCTGCCCGGCAGCTCCCTTCTCTCCAGGCTGACTGGATAAGGTCAAGTCTCCAGCTTCTACCACAGCAAACGTCCGGTGCCCAGGGGACCACACACCTTGCTGAGCCTGCCAGCAGCACTGCCACCACCGTGGGAAGGGCTCTGAGCCCCTGTCCACTCCCAAATGGCACTATCCTACCCCAAAGGCTCCTCACCGAGTGCTTAGTCTGGGTGCTGCAGCCATGGCCAGGCTGGGGACAGCACGAGGACGCAGTCTGGGGCCCGGCAGCCAAAGGCAGGCCCTGGGAAGCCTCAAGAAGAGGCATCCTTTGTTCCGTGTGGGGATGTGGCCCCATGACAGCTATTCCTGGCAGCCAGGACACAGATATCCCCAACAGCTGCTCCCTGGAGGAGCGCCTGCCACTCTACCAGGTCCCCAAAGCAGGGACCCTGCAGAGGGTACCACGCATGGGCAGGGGAGAGGGCACAAGGTCTGCCCACGGTGACAGCTAAGGGTTTGCCTGTGGCACCCAAGCAGCACCCAGCCACCTGAAGTGCCCACGACCAGTGAGACTCCCATCCCGAAACGCTTCTCTCCAAGGTTCCTAAGCAGCTGAAGTTGGAACATCTGTGGCTTTGGTGGCTTTCCATGCCCATGTGCTGCGGGACAGGCATGGGAGAGACCCCACTGCCTGCACCCCACAGCACCCTGCGGGTGCGGGTGACAGCACCCCCTCCCGTTCCTGACCTCTCGTCCATCTCCACCAGGATCTTGTTTTTGCTGAAGGCACGACACGTGGCGAGCGGGAGGCCGGGGGGCTGCCGGGCGGCTCTGCCCCACGCCGGCGGCCGGTGGCAGAGGGGCAGCACGCCTGGGGGGACAGAAGCAGGTGGGGCCGGGCAGGGCACAGCCCCCACAGGTGTGGCGTGTGATCCCCAAAACTGCTCTGCACAGACAGGGTGGGGACACGGGGACACCCTGACCCACTGAGGGAGGACATGGGGTCACCTCGGCCCATGGTGGAGGGACACAGGGGACACCCCGACGCACTGAGGGAGGACATGGGGACACCTGGTCCATGGTGGGGGGACACAGCGGCACCCCGACGCAATGACGGAGGACATGGGGACACTCCGACCCATGACGGGGGACAGGGTGGGCAGCCCTGACCCACTGAAGGAAGGCGTGGGGACACCCTGACCCACGGCGAGGGGACACGGGGGACACCCTTATCCACTGAGGGAGGACATGGAGCACTCTG